GCTGAATAGTGATAATGATTATGACAGTGATAATTACAGCTACTATTTGTCCATACTTGCTTTGCACCTAGCACTGTCCTAAGCGCTTTACATAAATGACTACATTTAATTTCCACGGTAACCCTCTGAGGGAGATATCACAAACTCCCCTATCACACTAATGAAGAAACTGAGCTCTGAGAGATTAAATCTCCTGTCCAGCCCCACCCAGCCAGTGAGCAGTGGAGTGGGAAGGATCTTCGTGTTTCTGCCCTCCAAGCTGGCCTAAGCCCTGCATGAGTAGTTACCCTGTGCTCTACACTATATTCACTGATTTTATGCTTCATTCACTGATTTTGATCACTTGCTTTTGTTTTGAACAGATACAGGTGATGGTGCACAGAAGAAGATTCATTCATGCACTCATTCATTCATTCGTTCATTCTTCATCAGATGTGACCCAAGCCTGGGCTTGCTGCCAAGCTCACCGGAAACTCAGTGAGTAAGCCCACACCCTTCCCCAGGGAGCTGAGGGTTCTGTGCAGAATGGAGTATCTGCCGAAGGCTCATTCTTAAAGCCCACAGTCTCTCTGATTTTGTTGGGTCTGTGAGGGGTGAGGGTGGGGGGAGTATCTGGGTGCACTTTGCAGACTGTGGCAGGATGCTTGGCCACACAGGTACTCATGAAACACCGGCTGATTGCTTTACCTTCCACCTTTATCCCAGTCTCCCAGGCTGGGTGCAGACCTTAGGATCAAGGGGTGGAACAAAGGCCACACTTGCGTGGTGCTCTTCAGTGTTGGCCATTGTACTTCATCCCATTTAATCTGCAGAATGACATAGACCTGGCCGTGTAGGCTCTGGGTGTGTGGCGCAGGAAGAAGCTGGCTGGGCGGAGGGTAGGACTGGCTGGAGCACCCGTCGTCACCCCTTACACTCAGCTAGGCATTTAACACAGGCTGCTGGGTTCAGTTAGGCATTCAATGCAGGCTACTGAATCTGCCATGAGCTTTCCCTCTTTTCCTGACTTCCATTTGCTTCTGTTCAGGAGGACTTGGGTCTAAAAGGATTGGACTGGAAAGCACAGGTGGATGTGGCAGAACGTTTGCCTCCAGACGTAGGGAGCTGCTTGACCAGACTGTGTCAAGGGCAGAGTCAGATGCCAAAAGATGCCTTTCTAGGCCGTCACTAAAGGCACTTGTTGAACTCCTGTGACTTCAGGCTTCCCTTTGCCCAGAGGCCTCGCACTAGTAGATAATGCTCTGTCAGCTTCCCAACTGCAGCCTCTGCCTCTGCTCACTCACATCTGGGCCCAGAGGGGACAGAAGCCAGGCTGGCTCTCTGGACTGAGCAGCACTGAGCTGCCCACCCATGTGGCTCATGCAGTGGTCTCCCTCCCTTCCCCCCTCTTCCTTTCTTCCTTCCTCTCTTTCTCTATTTCTTTCTTTCTTCCTTTGGGTACGGGCATTAAACATTTTGAAAAAAATCTATTTTGTATTTTACATATAGTGAAATTCACTCTTTTCGGTATACAGTTTTATGAATTTTGACAAATGCATACAGTCATATGACTACACCACAATCAAGATCAAGAGCGTCTAGCAACCTTCTAAAATATCCCTCATGCTGCCCCTTGTAGTCAATCCACTGCTGCCCACCCAGCCCCTGACAACTATCCGTTCTTTGTTCCTACAGTTTTGCCTTTTCCACAATATAATATAAATGGAATCATACAATATTTGACCTTTTGTGCCTGACTACTTTCACTTAGAAGTGACATTTGAGATTTACCCATGTTGTTGTATGTATTAATAGTTCAATTCCTTTTCATTGCTGAGTAGTACTCTGTCATGTGCCATTCGGGTTGTTTCTAATTTTTATGATTACAAACAAAGCTGTCACAAACATTCACATAGGTGTCTGTGTGAATATAGGTTTTTATGTCACTTGGTTAAATACATAGGAGCAGGATTGTTGGGTCATATGGCATGTTTAACTTCATAAGAAACTGCCAAACTTTTCTAAACATTCACATAGGTGTCTGTGTGAATATAGGTTTTTATGTCACTTGGTTAAATTCGTAGGAGCAGGATTGTTGGGTCATATGGCATGTTTAACTTCATAAGAAACTGCCAAACTTTTCCAAAGTGGCTGTGCCGTTTTACATCCCACTGCAACATGTGAGGGTTTTACCTGCTCCTGTTCCTCTGCAGCACTCGCTATTGTTAGTTTTGGTTTTTTTGAAGTTATTCTAATAAGTGAAAATGGTATCTGATTGTAGTTTTAATTTGCATTTCCGTAATGAGTAATGATGTTGACTATCTTTGGCCCATTTAAAATAATTGGGTGGATTATTTTCTTATTATTGGGTTCGAGAGTGTTAAAAAATATATTCTGGACAGAAGTCAGGTATGTGTTTTGCAAATATTTTCTCCTAGTTTGTGGCCTTGGAGTGCTATGTGTTATTTACACTTGAGACCCACTGACCAGGACTGGTCATGTGGTCATATGCAGTCACAAGGGAGCTGGGAAATACAGTTCTCCACTGTGCCTGGAAAGGCGGAGAACTGAAGATATTTGGTGACTAGCACTAAGAACCATCATACACACTGCTTATATTATTTCAGAGCCTGCATAGCAATATTTCATGAATGTTCTTCCATGTTAGCAAGTATTCCTCTGTAGCAGGATCAGCAATCTACAGGCACAGGCTAGATGTGGCCTGTTGTCTGTTTTTATTTGGCCTGCAAGCTCTTTTTAACAGGTGAACATTTGAAACTGATTTGATGATAAGGAAAACTGACTTTGAACCTCAATTAATCAAAATGTTCTTAGTCCAAAAAGAGTTAGATTCTTCTTAGTAGTAGACCTGTATTACAAAAAATTGTATTCAATTATTCTTGCATCTTGAATTTGTCCACGAAACTTTGTGGGAATTTGTTTTCTCTCATTGTTATAAGTACTACATAACATCTTTGAGTTTGCCTATTGGCCTGCAAAGCCTAAAATATTTACCCCCCTGCACTTGATTGAAAATGTTTGCCAAACACTTTTATATAAAATAGTTTTCCGGAGCTGCATGGTATTCCATAATTTTCAATGATATGTACATATTGTAACATTCTTCTACTCATATTGATCAACCATGTTGTTTCTAGATTTTTTTCTATTTAAACAATGCAGCATTATAGACCCTTGCACATATATCATGATGATAATTGTTGATTATTTCCTTAGAATAGATTCCTAGAAGTGGAACTGCTGACTCGAAGGCTGGGTACGTTTTGCAGATTTTGACTCACTATCTCTAAGTAATTTGTCAGAGTGGCACTATTTCACGTTCCCTCTTGCGCTGGGTAAATGTGCTTATGTACTTGCACATTTCCAAAGCTGATGGTATAATTCCACAATATCAGTTGAGATTTTGTTGGGGATAAAATTTCTCCGTATTGCCATTTAATTTGCCTTTAAACAATTATAATTTTATATGTGTTTAAGTCATTTTTACCTCCTCTTTTGTAACTGGCTTCTTCAAGTCCTCTGTCTAGTTTTCTGTCGGATAATTTTTTATTCTTTATTCAGCATCCAGCAGTGCCCTGGACAAGTGGCTGGAAAATTATTTGCTGAAGTTAAGGCTGAATCAAACCCGGCTGCATTCTCTGGGTGAAGGCAAATCTAGTCACTTTTCTCTGCTTTGTTGACATGTGCTGTGATTTTAAAAGAATTTCCCCTCCAGTCAGTGGATGACATCTGCTGCTTTGCAAGAAGATACAGCTCCATTTTCCTAATCTGCCAACCCCTGGGATTTGAAAATACAGTACTAAGAATGCTAAAAGATGTACTGGAAACAAGTCTTCTGGTTTGGGGTTAATGAGAACGTCCTGGCTTTCAACCAGACCCAGCTTCTAACAGTGACGGTGGCAGACATGTGGTGGAATATGGGGAAGATTCTGGGAGTACCACCTGGCTAGGAGATGCTCAGGATATTTTTCCATGGTTAGAAATGGAATCAAATCAATCTTTCCAAAAGTGGTAAGAAACGGGTGGGGGTTGGGGACGAGTATCCCCGTTGCATTGTTGAGGACTCTGCAGTTCACTCACAGGTCAGAGATGACATATGAGTTGAAGAAGGAAGCCAGGTTGTCTCAACAGCGGCAAGGCCACCCTGTTACTGGGGACGCCATCGTCACAGTGGAGGCTCCTACATAAGCTCCCATCCTTAGGAGATCCTGTGGTCATTCTTATGATGCTCACAGTGTTTAAGGTCACGCGTGGGTGGAAGAAGACCTTTTCTGACCTATATCCTTGTCACCACTGATTTCTGGAATTACATTAAAAAAATTTCCAGTCAAAATGTCCACCTTTATTTTCAGTTATTTCTCCATCGGTTTAATTGTCACCTGCCATACTAGAACTCTGAGACAACAAACTCTAAATGAGCTCTTGACATCAGTGAACAGGTTCATTCTAATCTCCTTGGGTTTAGAGATGTGGAGATATAAGAAAAGAAAGTACATCTTTGCTTTCACACAGCTCACAGACTAGCGGAGGAGACACCACTAAACCAATGATTCCAGTACAGGGTGAAAGGTCCAAGTTGTTCTCGGAGCATGCAGAAAGAGTGAGAGGGAGATGGTGGTAGGAGAAGGCTTTCCAGAAAAGGGAAACTGAGCTGAGTTTTGGGGAAAGAAGTAAAAAAAAGTAACCAGCCAATGCAGGGGCACAGGTAGAGAGCATGCAGGTAGAGGGAAGAGCAGGTGCAGGCTGCCAGTCACCCAGCCGTCAGCTAACCCGAGGATCTCCCGAGCTGTTATGGCGTACTGGGCATTGCCCTTCATGCTGTGTTACAACAATGTTCTCTAGAGTCTCAGTTGGAGTTTTTATTGTATCTCAGAAGTTTACTCTCTTCGTCCTACCCCATAAAAATTCTCAGGCTGGTCGGAATAGAATTGTCAGAAAAGGGCAGAGTAGATAAAAAATCTCTCCTTTCCCTGTTGTGTCAGAAAGTTCCCCAGGAAGAGACTGCCAAGCACAGGAAGATACATATATATATATGCAAATCCCCTACAAACTGTTT